TGAGAAATATTAATTAAAAGTCATATCAAAATTCGTGACCTACATTGCTGATCATTTCCCGATTCCAAACTTTTGTCAAGCGAGAGTACATGTTTTTTGTGGTACATGTTTCTATATAAAACTTGAATGTTTATTTCTAAATTGTCACAATTATGCATCTTCTAATCCGATTATAAACTATATATGGCGATAGTGGTACGTACGTAAAAACATTGAATTTTACTTTCGCTCTTTTCAAAAATGTCACCAATCAATGAACTCTTAGCAATATGGAAATTAGGATGTGAATTTTTCGAAAGCGATAATCTAATAATAAAGCGAGTGCGAGACTGGGCTATCAAAAAAAATCACGATTTACCACAAATCTTCCGAGAAATCTATCATCATAAACAAGATGAAATAGAATATGCATCACTCTTAGGATTCTTGTTTCACTATGGCCTCGGCACAGAGATCAATCAGGACCTAGCATTCCATTATTATCGGATATCTGCGGAATCGGAAAACGACGGTGTGGGTCAAACACAGCTAGCATGGTGTTATCAATTTGGGTTTGGGTGTGAACGGAATGCAGAAACGGCATTCATCTGGTACATGAAATCAGCGGAAAATGGGTATGCGGTTGGACAACAAAATGTTGGATGTTGCTTTTCGAATGGAAGTGGGGTAAAAGTCGACAAAGTGAAAGCATTCGAATTTTACAGGATCGCTGCGGAAAATGGATACAAGCATGCACAAGGAAACTTGGCAACTTGCTACCGCTTCGGAATCGGGACCGCGCAAAATCTCCGGGAAGCAATTAATTGGTTCCTATGTGCCGCATACAACGGAAATACCGACTCACAAGCGGAACTAGCACAAATGTATTTATATGGCAGTGGGACTGAGGTCAATCGACACGAAGCGTTTCGATGGTACGAGAAATCCGCAGTTTGTGGAAACACGCAAGGACAAATGTGTTTGGCGGACTGTTATTTGCATGGAACCGGAACGGAACGTGATTTAGGTGCGGCATTTGCATGGTGTAAAGCTGCTAGTGATGCTGGGAATGTTTCTGGAAAGAGCAGTGTTGGTATGTTGTATGCCAAGGGCGAGGGTGTTGAGCAGGATTATCGAAAGGCGTTTTATTATTTTCAGCAAGCTGCGAATATGGCTGAGGAACGTCAAATGAGTAATGCGATGATTCCATTCGATGTAGCTATGTGTTATCAATTGGGAAAAGGCATAATGCGTGATATTCATACTTCATTATTATGGCATAGAAAAGCGCACAAAAGAAGAAATATGTATTCGCCGCGACAGTTGGATAGGCTTTTCAAGGTGTTGAACGATTAATTTAATAGAATTCTGTTTCTTGCCTGTTGGATTTTTTATACATTTATATTTCCAATCTTGAAATTATGAATTAGTCAAATATTCTTTAACTTTTCTTCTTTGATGACAACGTAAAATTTCCAGTTTTCAAAAAAAAACAAAATTATGATGGCAAGAATAAATATTAATATAAAATAACCCAATACAACTATTTTCTCAAAAAAAAAGAATACTTTTTATAAATTTATTTTCTTCTTGCACTTTGGAAACTATGATCAAAGAATAAATTCAGTAAGAAATATAGCCCTGCATAACGGTACAGTAATACATGTATGGATAATGATAATGAAAATTTATCGGAGAACGAGGTACTACATGTACAAAGCGTGATACATGTACATGCACATTTAATTCGTTTTTTCTGTTCGATATACGTGTACATATAGTACATGTATAATAGAATGGTTATAATGGCATTTAAAATTGAAACAATACTAATAATATCATAAATTTTTCTACGGACAACATAATTTTGATATAAGGTTTTGTCTAAGGAAGGGTTCAATTTAGAGAAGTCTGCTGTGCTTAAATTTTACTCTTTTGAAATAGCGAAAAAAAAGATGAATTGCTCAGTGTCATAAAAAATTGAATATTTATCAATTTTGCTCTACCTGTGATCTTCTTCCATAGACAAGCAAAAATAGAAGAGTTAAATAAAATTACTAAAGAGATTCAACCTAAAATTTTCCTCGAGGGATTGAGTATGAAGAATTTAATGAAATAGAATTAATTGCTGCAGGAGGTTTTGGCAGCGTATCAAAAACAATTTGGAATTCGGGTTATGTAATTAATTTCAATAAAAATCAATTCGAGCACTAAAGATGATATTCAATTCAAGCGATGCAAATTTTAATACAATTCAAGAAGTAAGTGGATATCGGCTTTGAATCAATTAATTTAAAATTTACTTTATTATTTTAATTTACTTTATTATTTTAATGTATAGATTCAATCTGCCATTATCAATAGTCTTGATGGATGAACCATTGGTAAAATTATTCAATCAAGTCAAGTTGTTCTTCTTGGGTATTTATGCGATCAAATATAAAAGTGTTCACTAATTGTACTATTCTCTGTCAGGTAGTGTATATTTCACTCAGATCAAGTTGAATTAATTCATAAAATAACAAATATGTGATTTGATTTATAGATGCTGCTCCAATATTTTCAGTGAGCAAGTGAAAAGTCCAAAATTGTAAAGAAAAATTGGTTTGAAGGGGATGACAATAGAGGCAAAAGTGTTGGATAGATATTCTAACAGGGTAATTAGAGTTTTGATGTGCTTCCAAATGATAATTAATAGGTAATCCAATAAAAGAATAATAAGTAGTCATGAAAACTCAAGACATAAATATTTATCAATTACTTGGATGATAAAAGAAGAGGTATAAAAGAAATATAAAAGGATTTAAATATAATAAAGGATATGTGAGGGTCTTTCTCCACAGAGAGGGTACCAAAAATATGTTATGGCAAATCTGATAAGTGGATTTTTACTTGAATTCATCTTAATAACATTGGATTAAAAGAGACTAAATTAATTAATGAATAAAGAGAGAGGAATTAGATTATAAACTTTAATACTGACAAAGATTTCTGAGATCTGTGCCAATATTTATGGATATTGTCTTAAAAAGATACAGTTAAAATAATAAAAGAAATTATAAATCAAGAAAATTATAAAGATCAATTAGTAAAATCACTAATAATCAATATAATTTAAAATTTAAAGTGATTAAATAATAAAATTACTATTAATTAAAAAAGATTATAGTTAAAGAAAAAATAAAACTAAGATAAATGAAAAACTAAATAACTAAAAAGATATGATATATTTATAGTAGAGATTTTCTACTCTCAAAAATAATATAACAAATAAAACAGAAAGTATGACTTATTTATAATAAAGATCTTTTACTTTCAAAATAATATCAAAAATTAAAAATTAATATAATATTATA